AAGCCTTCAACACAACACTAAGCCTTCAACACAACACCAAGCCTTCAACACGACACCAAGCCTTCAACACAACACCAAGCCTTCAACACAACACCAAGACTTCAACACAACACCAAGCCTTCAACACAACACCAAGCCTTCAACACAACACCAAACCTTCAACACGGATGAACAAACACATCTTATCTTGTGGTTATCTTGAGATGATTTCGGGGCTTTAGTGTCCCCGCGGCCCGGTCCTCGACCAGGCCTCCACCCCCAGGAAGCAGCCCGTGACAGCTGACTAACACCCAGGTACCTATTTTACTGCTAGGTAACAGGGGCATAGGGTGAAAGAAACTCTGCCCGTTGTTTCTCGCCGGCGCCCGGGATCGAACCAGGGACCACAGGATCACAAGCCCAGCGTGTTGTCCGCTCGGCCGACCGGCTCCCTCGCGGTACATCCACGCGGATGAACAGACACATCAACGCGGGCGAATAAACACATCCACGCGAATGATCAAACACATCCAAGCGGATGAACACACATCCACGCGGATGAACACACATCCACGCGGATGAACACACATCCAAGTGGATGAACACACATCCACGCGGGTGAACAAACACATCCACGCGGGCGAATAAACACATCCACGCGGATGATCAAACACATCCAAGCGGATGAACAAACACATCCAAGCGGATGAACAAACACATCCAAGCGGATGAACACACATCCACGCGGATGAACAAACACATCCACACGGATGAACAAACACATCCACGCGGATGAACACACACATCCACGCGGATGAACAAACACATCCACACGGATGAACAAACACATCCACGCGGATGAACACACACATCCACGCGGATGAACAAACACATCCACGCGGATGAACAAACACATCCACACGGATGAACAAACACATCCACGCGGATGAACAAACACATCCACACGGATGAACACACACATCCACGCGGATGAACACACATCCACGCGGATGAACAAACACATCCACGCGGGTGAACAAACCACATCCACGCGGATGAACAAAC